AATATTACTTTAAAAAAAGACACTGAGCTGAGTACCGGCCATAGAGGGCTGTCCTTGCTGCTGTGAATTAATGCGAAAAACGATAGTCTTCAAACCGGTAACCAGCCCCGGTTACTGCCCAGTAACGATCAACCTGGTAACCCAATCGTAACCACCCCCATTAACGACCCCCGGTAACCATCCACCTGGTAACCGGTCTCCGCGTACCCCATTAACGGCCACAATTGCCCGATAACCGGGCAAGTCTATGTGGTAGGGCAGGTCTGCGTAAACTTTTCGTAATCGGGAGGCCCTTTGCGGAAAGGCTGCGGAAACTGCGGAAAGCTGCGAAAACTATAAAATGAATATGTAACGATGTTTTTTAGCTCTTCTCAGTGTGGCGATAACTTGGACAGTCTGAAACCAGCTTGTGGCAGTGCGGTTCTGTCCGGTGGGATCTAGAATCTGGTTGATTCCAATCGTGCTCGAAGGTAGAGCCATCTAAACGTATTACTGTGGGTGGCGGGGGCCAAGCGATCAACTATTGTGTGCCCACACCCTTGACGGTGTTCACCCTGCCCCCTTAAAGCAGCCCGCCTCTCTTTGAACCCTGAGACCCCAGGCCTGAGCAGGCCCGCTTGGCCGTGACGACCTCAGAAGAGGATGCAGCAGCATCCTTAGCTAACAAGGCCTTGTAAAACGCGCTGACCTCAGGCGCAATGGCAGTGCACTCCTTGGCAAGGTGTAACCGGATTTCAGGAAGGCGCGCCCGTTTCCAGTGGCGACGGCAGCCCTTGCAGGTGGCATAGCAATTCTTGCTTTTGTCGTAAGGACCTCTATCAAAATGTTTCAAAACGTCCTCAACTGGCCTTCCACCCTTCTTCTGAGCAGAAACACAGTCAATCTCTATGACTTCGGCAACCCCCAGGTCGGAGCCAGTGGTTGTTGACATTTGACTTAATCTAATAACTCCTTAGTGTAAAACGCAGTCTTTAAATGGCAAACGCATGCCTGGAATCTGCTTTTGAATTTCCGCCGTATAGCAAAGCGGAAATGCGGATTCTCTTTCCGCATTTCCGCCAATCTGGGCTTCGCTGCGGAAAGCGTGACGAAACCTATTTCCGCAGGTTTCCGTTTACGCAGGTTTCCGTTTCGGCTCGTTCCCTGTGTGCAAGCAAACGGTCGCGTTTTTGGTAGTGCAACGTATACAGCACCTTGTTCAGAGTAAAGTCAAATTACAAAGTTGCGCAAAGTATAACATACATAAACTTAATTAAACATAAGAACAGATAAGACGTTTAGAGCCTTGTCGGTGACATGGACACCGCTGTTGGCTTGGAACAGCTATTTGCTGTGCATAGGGACGTGCCCGCGTTAGCCGTGTTGCAACAGCTCAGGATGGATTTCAGCCAGCAACAGCCTCAAGAGCTGCTGCACAACCACCGGGAATGTCTTCAGTTGGGCACGTGTAGTTTTGGTCGGCGGGGTCGAGCAGCGTACGCATTGTGCACAGAAACCAAGGTGCAGCGTCTCTGTAACATCGCTAACATATCCGGTACGCGGTGGCAGGCTTGCCGAGCACGAAATGAAGGGGGGGTCGCATCTCACCATTCAACTAAGCATGCATGTGCTCGGTTGAATGCTCGGTAGCGTGCGAGTTTACCCCTATCAGGATGTTTGTTTGCATATCCCGCCAAGCGAGAGGGCTTGGACCTATGCTGATGTTCGTTCCAAAAAGTGAACTGAGGACTGATGCTACGGTGAAAGGTATGCCCGTAAATTCGCCCGTGCGCCAAACGCCCTGTAACTCGCTTACGCTAATCTCACATTCCAATATGCCACTGCACTTTCCTTTCCAGCCTGGCCACATTCTCTTCCTCGCAAACGTACTTGGGCACCTTACAATCCAACACCATACGGGCTTTGGAAACGCGGGCAGCTGCTTCACAAGGACCCCCCTATTTTTCCATTGGGATCACTGTACACAACTTTAATCGGACGTACGGATTGTACGCCATTGCTCACTTTGAAGCAGGGAACCAGCGGGAACGGAAATTTGCGAAAGCGTAAATTTGCGAATACAGTTTCCGTCCGCATCCGCAAGCAGAGTCTGGTTTCGCGGATAGGAGGAATCTGGTTCCGCACTTCTCGCGCTTGCGGTACGGCGGAAGAATGAATGTGATTCATGCGAACTGTCAAGCGACGCCGGGCATTCCGGTATGATTTCAGGGTTAGTGATTGCATTCGCAGGACCCTTGGCTCGATGACTTTCTTACCCTGATGTTGGGTAGCAGGGGTCGGCAAACGCCGCTGGTAAAGCGGGTTCATCCGTTGTACCCGTTGCAGAAATTCATCATCGCTGGTACGGCAGCCGTACGGCAGGGTTCAGAAATTCCCCCCAAAAGGCAGGTTTGCGCAATAATTGGGCGCAACAAGACAACTGTGG